AAAAAAAAAAAAAAAAAAAAAAAAAAAAAAAAAAAAAAAAAAAAAAAAAAATTCACCGCCAGATCCAACCCGATAGGAACACTTTTTCGGCGTCGATAACTGAAACGCATAGATTGGTCACAGTACGACCGTCTAATTTACAGGGATTTTAAAAATCTCTTGAGGCTGGAGCGATCGGAGAAGACGAAGCGCGAGGCGGAGGAGCGGATAGATGCTTACGGTGTTAGATATCGCATCCCGGAGAAGATGATTCAGTGTGCGTAATAATGGATTCACGATTCAGGCTACAGATCTGCTTGAAGTAGATGGTGAGCGGCGGCGAGAAAAAAAGAATTGTGAGAGAGATAGGAATTGAAAGCTCAGCGAGGACATTTCTTCCTTTATTACATTCTTTATTCTTTCCTTTTTTTTTCCTTTTTTCTTGGGCTAATAACAATTGTCGGTTAAGTTGTAGGCTTTGGACTTGGCAATGCACAGCCCAAACATCCATTTTGAGAAGCCCAATATATAGGTCTTGAACTTTTATCAACATTCAATATAAAATTAATGATAAATATATATATACACTTATATTATATATATAAAATAAATAAAATATTTATAAATTAATTAAACCGGTTCGACCGGTTCGACCACTGGTCCGACCAGTGAACCATTGAACCGGTAGCTTCACCAGTTTGATGAACGGTTCGATTTTCAGAACATTGGTTTTTTCATCTCTTTTTTACTTTTTGTTTATATTGGATGTTTTTTATTTATTTTCTCCTTAAGAATTGATAGTTGACTCATCTTTTGAGCCCCTAGACTCCTCAAGAATGATAAAAGACAATCTTTATTATCCATTTAGAGGTGTCACCGTGTCACTAATGGAGATTAACCCACCAAAAAACAAGAAGTTTGATAATCTAAAAAAAAAAAAATTTGTTACAAAGAAAAAAAAAATAAAGAAAGGAAGATATACAGAATAAGAATATTATGTTTTAGATTGAAATTCTAAACTAAGCAAGCCGATTCTGCAGATTAATCAGCAATTTACATGACCTGGATACTATTTGGCAACATCCCTACATGACCTGGACCAATTAAAAATAATGCAATTAAAAAATTTCTAGCAACTATTTGAAAAAATTATTTCTGCCTGATACTATTTCACGACCAATCCTTTTTTTTTTTTTCAAAATTGCCGATCCGGCCCGGACACGACCCGGGCACGACCCGGCCCGGAGCCTGGCCCGGCCCGGTCAACTGGGCCAATGACACGACACGAGCTTAGTTCCGTACCGGGTCCGGTTCAATATTTCTGAGCCCGTCGGCATGGCGGGCCGGGCCGGATAGTGACCCGGCTCGTGTTTTGGCCATGTCTAAGTTTGACTATTAATTCAATTAGGTCCAATAAATTATATGGTCCACAATAATAGAATAATATACAAATATTATTACATATAAGTGATTGTGAGAATATTAGAGGGTTATTATTTTAATGAAAATGGAAGTGAGTGAAGTAGAAGAAAATTAGGAGTAGGAATTTAACTTTGACTTGAACTTGAAAAGGGGGCATGAAGAGTGGAGTAAGAAAATGTCATGTATAATTTCAACTCGGGTTGCCCCTTTAAACTGAATGTGATAAGTTGAAATCACATACGGTATACAACAACATAAAAAATTTACAATATTTTACAATATAACTAGCGCGTAGCCCGTGCGATGCACGGGATGGTATATTTTCCTGAAATGTTTAACGTGTGAAATATTAAAAATAATATAATTTATATATATGTAACAAAAATAAATGGATTGCAAAGAAGGAAAAAAAATATAAATTATTGAACACTTTCTTTGTGAAGTAAAATTTGTGAAGCTTTGATATATTTGATTATGAATAGAAAAGTATGAAATACTACCTGCGGACCGTTGAGATAGATGAGAAGATTTACTTAGAATATATAGAATAAATATTGAGATAATGATTTACCTTTTACCTAGTATATACAAAATAAATATTGACATGATGTAGGAAAATTATGACAAATTTTGACATAAATTCGTCTAGAAGTTAGTAGAAAATATTCAAAAATTAGATTTATTTTTTATTTTTTAAATCCTTACAGTAATTCGTACGCTCCTTTTCATACGCTTAATTTATCAATTTTACACATACAAATCAAAATTAATGCAACTCGAAATATTATATAACAAATAAAATGAGATTTTTTATCTAACATTTAGTATATTGCCGGAAAATCTTTTATAAATCTTATTCTCTTTTTATGCACATAGATATTAAAGAATGAGTAAAAAAATTATCTAAATATGTTTAAAAGTATCTAATATTATATGTGTTAACAATGTTACAACCAAAAGACATTAATAATACGTAGACTATTATATAACATATGTGAAAGTATTAAAATATTTTATATTATTATTGAAAAATGTGAAACTACCACAATTTTGTCTAGACTATTTTATGAGAAAAATATATATACTTAAAGTTAGCATACACACACATATATATCCTTAAAATTTGCCCAACTAACATGTTTAAAAGTATATACAATTTTATATATAAAAACACGTTTAAAGTTTACATATTTTACAAAAATTAGACTGCTCTCAGTTTATATAAAGTTTGTTTCTCTCATATTCGGATAACGTATTATGCATATAATGAAAGCACTCTACGATACAAATTTATAAATATTAATTAAAATAATTTTCTAAATTATATAAAATTGAAATAACAAAGGTAAATATTACTGTTCATCATGAAAATGCGTTACAACTCTCCCGTTCGTGATGGGTTTCAATAATGCGGACTGCTCTCAGACGCAAAAAAGGTTTGTTTCTTTTGTTAACGGAATCAAGTGTACCCCAGCTGGAAGTATTATATTGTATATGCGATGAAAAATTATTCTCTGTATTTTTTTTTCTCTGAACTCGTGAATGATGAGTTGTAATGGTGGTAGTGAATATCCTTTTATACAATTTTTTATTAACCAAAAGTGATTTTGGATAGATAGTAAGTCCCATGATTTTTGCAACGGACAATCAATTTCACATATTTTTTATTAACCAAAAGTGATAAGATAATTATGAATTGTATTTACCTTTTACCTAGTATATATAAAATAAATATTGACATGATGTGGGAAAATTATGACGAATTATGACATAAATTCGTTTAGAGGTTAGTAGAAAATATTCAAAAATTAGATTTATTTTTTATTTTTTAAATCCTTACAGTAATTCGTACGCTCCTTTTCATACGCTTAATTTATCAATTTTACACATACAAATCAAAATTAATGCAACTCGAAATATTATATAACAAATAAAATGAGATTTTTTTATCTAACATTTAGTATATTGCCGGAAAATCTTTTATAAATCTTATTCTCTTTTTATGCACATAGATATTAAAGAATGAGTAAAAAAATTATCTAGATATGTTTAAAAGTATCTAATATTATATGTGTTAACAATGTTACAACCAAAAGACATTAAGAATACGTAGACTATTATATAACATATGTGAAAGTATTAAAATATTTTATATTATTATTGAAAAATGTGAAATTACCTCAATTTTGTCTAGACTATTTTTTAAGAAAAATATATATACTTAAAGTTAGCATACACACACATATATATCATTAAAATTTGCCCAACTAACATGTTTAAAAGTATATACAATTATATATATATAAACACGTTTAAAGTTTACATATTTTACAACAATTAGACTGCTCTCAGTTTATATAAAGTTTGTTGCTCTCATATTCGGATAACGTATTATGCATATAATGAAAGCACCCTACGATACAAATTTATAAATATTAATTAAAATAATTTTCTAAATTATATAAAATTGAAATAACAAAGGTAAATATTACCTGTTCATCATGAAAATGCGTTACAGCTCTCCCGTTCGTGATGGTTTCAATAATGCGGACTGCTCTCAGACGAAAAAAATGTTTGTTTCTTTTGTTAACGGAATCAAGTGTACCCCAGTCTGGAAGCATTATATTGTATATGCGATGAAAAAGTATTCTCTGAATTTTTTTTTCTCTGAACAATGATGAGTTGTAATGGTGATAGTAAATATCCTTTTATACAATTTTTTATTAACCAAAAGTGATAAAATAATTATGGATTGTATTTGGATAGATAGTAAGTCCCATGATTTTTGCAACGGACAATCAATTTCACATATTTTTTATTAACTAAAAGTGATGAGATAATTATGGATTGTATTTGGATAGATAGTAAGTCCCATGATTTTTACAACGGACAATCAATTTCACATGCTTAATTAACGGAAATATCACCATTATTAAAGAGAATATCCATTTGCTTAATTAAAGTAGAATACATAAATAGAAAGTCAAAAGTCAACTCAATTATTTTTAGGTTTCTAAAAAAAGATTTTTACATCAACCTTTTTAGATATATATAGATGAGATACTTTTGTTCAGACAATATGAGTAGTTGGTCCAATTTTTGTAACAAAAATTAAATGTCCAATATTTTATAATATAATTATATATCTTTGTTCAGAAAATATTAGTAGTTGGTCCAATTTTTTTACGGAACCCCGCCTATATTGTTCGTAGTTGAAAATTATTAAAGAAAAAAGAAAAAAGAGAAAAGAGAAAAGGTAAATTGTATGAAAAACTGCTCCACAAATTTTATGAAAACCTCTGTTTCTCCTTTATCTATGAAAAAACTCATCAAACTTTGTACTCTGCAAATACATTAACTTGGTATTAAACTCAACAATGAAAAACCATATTTACATAACAAAAAAATACAATATAAATGTAGATTAAAAAAAAGAAAAGAAAAAAAAAAAAGTTCTTTCATGCATAATTTTCAAAAATCATAATCTATATCAGTCGCATTCTGCGCGCCCGACCGCCTCACCAGATTCCCCCTCTCATCGTACAAGTCGAGATTCTCGCACGGCCGAGGAAAAACGGAGCCCACCACACGGCCCTGGACATAAGCACACTGGAAAATATGCTTCTTCTTATAAGTAATCCCGACCGACATATCCTTAAAGCTCACGTTTTTCAGAGGAATCTCGGGACTCCCGTGTATACGAACTGGGACCCGCACGCCTTCCCCATGTACAGACGTGTAACTTATGTCCTCTATCACGGGATTAGCGTTCGGGTCGAAATCCTTGTCAGCATGTTCGTTGTAGTCTGTCTTGATGATTATGCCCACACGAACGTTGTCGAAAGTTAGGTTTTGATAGGTCACGTGTTTTATGTAGCCGCCTCTTCCGGGGGCTGTTTTGATTCGCACGGCTCGTCTAGAATTCCACACGTGCACGTTTTGGATCGTGATGTTTGATACGCCGCCCGACATCTCACTGCCTATCGATATTCCAGCACTGCATACAAATATATCCGCTCAAAATGAGTTTTTTTTTTTAACCAGAGTTAATTTTGAAAAAAGTGGTATGGTTAGTTGTTAGTGGGATTTTTATTTTATATTAAAATAATATATAAAATAAAATAATTAAGGGCGTGTTTGTATTATGAAAAAATTCAACCCATACTCAATTCATACTAAAAGCTAATTCAACTTTATCTCAACTCCACTATCATCAATATTATCAATATAACTAAATAATATCGACGGAAAAACCTTTTTCACGAGCAATTTATGAAATTTTTTTGTCATCGGTTTTCTCCTTTATTTTCAAGAATCCACAACTTTATATGTCAGCAAGCTACATTTCATTACAGAATGGAAATCTATCTATCTATATTATGCTTGAAATATTTGAGAGTAGAAAATAATAGCATCTTACCTGACCATGGATTGAACAACAAGGTTTCGAATCAGTATATTCATGGAAGGTCGGCCGTAACTTATACCGTATTGATCCCAACCACTCTTTATAGCAACACCATCATCACCAACGCTTATGTAACAATCCTCGATCACCATATCTTCACATGAATCTGTTTAACTAAAAGTCGATTAGGTCATTTATAAGCCAAGAATCACAGTACCTTGTTCGAAAATGGAAAAAAAAATACTAATCTAAGACCCAAAGTGTGGTGAGAGGCCTGTCTATTAGAGAATTTCAGACAACTTCAACATCTCAAGCATTTCACCAATAATGCCCAAATCCAATATGGCAATTAATTATTTTAGATTAAAAAAAAATAGCTAAACAGAGAAAGGGACTTTACCGGGGTCTATGCCATCGGTATTTGGAGCTTCGTAGATGGGCGCCAAAATGGTCACATTTCTTACAGTCACGTTCTTGCAGTCGTAAGGATGAAGAGTCCAAAAGGGAGAATCTTTTAACGTGACATTAGATATTATAATGTCGCTCGACCACATAATCTGCACGAGTGGCCCCCTTGTGTGGTTGAGAAGCTTTCGCCTGTACTTTTTCCACCACGTTTGACCTTGCCCGTTAATGGTGCCATTATGCCCTGTTACATGGGCCGATAACAAATAATATATTACTATACCATGATCAAAATAGACATACTGAGTTGAAACGCATGATATAAGCACTCGGAATTTCTAAAATCGTGGACCTGTAATGACAACATCTTTGAGATTTTGTCCATGGATTAAACTGCCATATCGAGGTCCCGGGTGTTCTCTTCCATATCCGTAAGAAGGCAAGGGAGGCATTAAAGGCCATTGCCTCTCGTCCTAAACAATACGATCATTTAGAAATATACGATATCAATGAAGCTAAACAACGAAACACGAGATCAGATATCGAGCATCATTTGCAACATTGTAGTTTACATTTTGAAGATATAATGAAAGCAATGCAATGAACCTTAGTTCCTTACACATAACAGTAGCTACATAACTCAGGTCATAAATCAATCCATAGTGTCTAATTTTCCATCAATTTAAACATTTATATGGTAACTCTTCTGAGAAACGAAAATTTGTGAATTTTCCGACTGATGTACCAAAGATTAGATCTCATTCAGACATAAAGATAAAAACTTTTAACATGAAAAACAAAATTGAAATACTCACATCAATCCCTAGAATAACGGCACCCTCGGCAAGAAAGAGAGTCATGTGGCTGGTTAGATTGAACGGCGCCGTCAGCCAAACACCCGGCGGCACGTTCAGCTGGCCGCCGCCGCTCCTCTTTCCGAGCTTCGAGATCGCCATCGCCGCCGCCTCGAACGCCGCCGTGTTGGGGGTCGCCCCGTCCCCAACGGCCCCGAAATCCGTCAGGTTGAACACCGTGGGCCGGAGCTTGGGAAGCTCTCTCTGCGGCGGCGGAGGAGGCGCACGACGGAAAACCAGCACGCCGCCGCCGGGGGCGGCGGAGTCCCGCTGCCAGTAGAAGACGGTGAAGAGGAAAACCATCCAGAAGGCGATCAGGAGGGGTTTCAGGGTCAGCACGGAGGCGACGGAGGTGGGGATCCAGCGGCGGAGGCGGTGGCCGCCGCCGGGGACCGCTGCCGATTCCACCATCGGAGTAGATTTCTGTCCTAAATCGTACGGTGAATCATCAAAAGTGTGCCAAAATGCGAACGGAAAAATGAGGGTATTTTTCGTTTTTCCTTTTTCTTTTGCTGAGATGCAAAGAGGGTTTTTTTACCGGTGGTTAAAGAAATGGTGGTGGTTGAGGAATCCGGTGGCGGGTGGCTCTCAGTCGCTGAGTGAGGGATTTCTTAAGGAGACGGAGATCGGAGGAGTATATTGCAAGGGAAGTACAATAACAAATTGTTTACTATCAAAATTTCAACATTGTTACAAAAATCAACTCTTCAATGTTATCGGGTAATTATATATTTATATATATATATTGACATTGTCAGATAATGTATTCTCTCTATTTGTTTTTTCTTCTTCAAAGTTCACTAAAATATTATGAAATAGTTAATTACTGGATTTTTAAGGTACAATTTGAACTTTAGCATTCTGCTTTGAGTTGAATCAAATTGTGGAGTTTAATGTAACTATTTAAGTAAACACAACTACTTAATAAGGTTCAAGTGGAATTCAATTGTGGACCAAATGTATCACAACTGCTTTTATTAGGATTCTCGTTTTGGTACGAATCCTTTTTTTTTTTTNTTTGTGATTGATATCTTGTATATCATGTACAATACATGGGAAAATAATATTAAAGTTAAATATTTGACTAAATAAATATATTAAGGTTATTATTTAAATTAAATGTTGGACTAAACCAGTGTTTTAAATACCGATATGTATCTGCCGATATTACTGATAATACCGGATACCAGTGGTCCAACCGATATGATTACCTTCTAAATATCGATTTGGCCAAAATACCGGCTTCATACTGGAAAATGCCGGTTTTAGCGGACAATACCAGCTAAAATACGTGGTATACCGAATTTTTTAAAAAGTAATATTTTTATAACATAGTTCTATTAATTTATTTATATAAAAAGAAAGTTCTGCACGTAATTTTAATATATTTACATTATTATTTGATTTTAGATAATTTTACTATTTATTATAGTTAGTTTTATATATTATTTATATTATAATAACATATTAATTTAAAATTTATTAAAACCGATAAAATAGACTGTAAAACCGGTTGAACCGCGTATCGGTAGCTCGTCCAGTATGATCACTAGTACGGTATTTAAAACATTGGACTAAACGATCATATTGACCAAACGAACATATTAAGTTATTGAATAAACTCGATACTAATTTTAAGGTGATTTTGTACGCATCTTTTCAAGATATACAAAAAAAATATTGGTATGCATATTTTTTTAAGATCACACACAAATTTAAAATTATTCTCTAATTTAAATTTCTCATTTGTGTATCCATTTATTAATTGCCTTATACTTATTAATAAATAAACAATATTACCCTCGTTCCAAAAACGAATATTTTGGAGTGGTAGTCAGTGAAGCATTTTGCCAAACGTTGCCAATGGATCAGTTAACCCTTTGAAACATGAAGTTAGGTTATTCATTGTTTTTTTTTTCCTAATAACAACCTTAAACAAGCCTTCTAATACTAAAGAAATCCAACAGTCAAATTACTAAACATAACAAGGTGCATGGAAAATAATATATACGCTCAGAGGCCAAATGTCGAAACTTCACCCTGCTAGAATTACCAAAAACGCGTTATAGTTACATATCAAGCTCATAAATGATACATATAGTAAGAAACACAACGAAGCATTTTCACTCATCGAAGGTGAGGATGGAAACGAGTGATTCGTATTCTGGAAAACGAGAAACGAGCTCAACACGCTTTGCCAGCTCGAAATCATCAAACTGGAATGCAGGCGCACAGGTACATCCCACGAGAGAAAAATGTTGTTCAGAGTCCCTTGTGGCTCGTTTGGCAGCTAAACCTTCAGATGAGATGTTGATATCCTTAGTTGGAAATGCACCGAACCAAACATTTGGAGGGACAATGTGCTGTACCACTTGATTGTCGGCTAGCGGGTCGGGCCCAAGACACGTCAGTTTAACACTCCCGTCATTTTCGTTTAGCTCCACAATCTAAGGTTGCAAATATAAAAACGGGAAAAATATGTGGAAACAGTAAAGAAAAAATTTTAAGTGGTTTTCGTATCTCTATTGTAAGAACATATATTGGTTAATCTTGTTAGTTGAGCCTTGTTCTGTGTTAGCTTACATACGGATTAGAAAACAGAGATCTTTTATCCCTATTTTTCATCTTCACATGAAAAAAAAAAAAATAAATAAAAATAAAAAAAATTGGAACTTGTAGTTTTTCAGTTTCAAAAGCATTATGTTTAAGCCAGTAATCATTTTAGAGAATATTTCACAAAATAAAATTGTCCAATATCATGTCACTGGAAATGGATAATGTAAGAAGGATACAATTCGTGCGCGTCATTATACTCGTACCATGGTGAAGAACAGAACAAACTACAAGAAAAATCTGCTATATAGTAATTGAACAGAAGAACTTGACATGGTTCAATTTTGTGATTTTTGATTCGTTTATTAAGAAGCAACGAGAAGTTACCGTTAATGGTTCTCCCATGTAAAAATGCCATGTTTCTGCACAAGGTATGCGGTGTAGGTGAGAAACACTTCCGGAAGGCAATAAGAAGTATATGCTTGTGCTGACCGGTCGATCGACCTTATCTGTATGGAAAACTATAATTAGAATCAAGCTAATTATATAAAAGACAGAAAATAGATTAAAATACACAACATCCACACCAGAATTCACAAAATTCACAAGCGTGATAACAACAAACATATAACATTATGGAAAACTCTTCCAGCACACATACAAAGACTATGAGTATAGGATTATGACAAAGGTTACATGGGTTTCATTACTGAAACGTCCTTCTTTTGTTTGTATTGTAACTTCATTTTCTCTTTGATTTTTCATGTCCAAGTGACCTGTTTATGATTTAATAAAGTACGTGATCACATTCAGACACATTATTCCGTGCATCAGAAGAAAGTCGACATATCCTTGAGCCTCACAATAAAACTAAATGGTACTTTCTTGCTACTCATAAGAATGAAACCAAGATGCTCCTAAACATGAATGTATCCAATTTAGTTGGCATATCAGTTATCAAAATTAACTAAATCATTCTGAACTTCCGAGTAAACCCGAAACGCAAACCAGCCATTCTTGAGCCATCCTCCCACTGAATTTGAATATATGTCAGAGTAACAAAAACATGTGTCAAATTATTAGCAAGAGGATGTAGAGTAGAAAACATATACAAAGAAAATCTGCAATTTTGTTTCGTTAAATCACATAATTATCCTCCCCATACTAATTTGGCACATAAAATGCATCGTTTTTGGTTATGCATTGTTTTTGGTTTTCACAGCAGAAAGACAGTCATCGTATTCGTATGTNAGATGTCCCAAAATGAAGAAGACGTGCAAACATCAACGCAGCTAAGCGAGCAACAATAAGAATCGGTTAAAAAAACATACAGATAGAGAAAATAAAACGAAGAAAGTGCAGAAAAATCAGCTCGACTAAACGAAATTGGAAGTACCCAAACCAATACGGAAATATATACTCTCGAAAAAGAAAAGCATCAGGATTTGGGAATTTTGAATCTGAAAACTCACATTGAGGAGGAAGATGAGATGTGGAGAGATGCACGGAGGTGTCTCTGAACGTTTCCGCGTAAAACCCGCCTTCTGGATGAGGCTTCAGATTCAACTTCGCCACAATTTTTGACGCCATTTTTGTTTTCCTTCGCAGGGGATGAACACGACAGTGTTTTAGAGCGTTGGCCGATAATTTATTTTCCACACACACGACTTTTGACTTATTTATTTTTTTGTACTTTTGACTCTTTTCCCCTCTATTTTTTGTTTGTTTCTTATTTTCTATACCTATTACAATTTTGCGGACTTTTGGAAGTTTTTGTTGGGCGCTTTATTTATTTAAAAAAATAAATAAANCTCGGAATACGTTTTTGTAATAAAATTTTATTTTCTTTTTATTACAAAAACGTATTCCGAGAATACGTGCTTTTGTCCACCCTTTTTCTTTTTATTTTTGTCCTCTTGTTTTATTTATTTTTTTAAATAAATAAATTTTATTACAAAAACGTATTCCGAAAATACGTTTTAGAATTATTTTTGTAAAATAAAAAAAAATTATCTTCCGTTTAAAAGTCGAATTGAATAAAAAATAATAATTATAAAACGTATTATGTAAATACGTTTTGAAAAAGAAAATCTATTTAAAAGGTATTTTAGAAATACGTTTATAAATTTAAATTTACAAAAAAATAAATAAATTTGTAGAACGTATATTCTCCGAATACGTTTTACAATTAAATAAAAGTAAAACGTATTCTGAGAATACGTTTTACAATCAAATATAAAAAAAAAATAAAAAAAAATCTCTTCTTCTCCCTCACTTACGCGATAACAGAGAGCAGAGAGGATGCGATTTTGAGCTTCGGGAAAAAAAAAACGCAATCCAATACCTACCCGACGCGAATCGACAACAACGACACGAGCCTCATTTTCAGTTAATTCATTCGCACAAGGTATATTGGCTTATCTCAACTTTTTATATTGTTTGGAGTTGTTTGGAGATTGGGAATTGTTATAGTATGTTTGAATGTGGTGGTGTTTGAAGATTGAGAATTGTTAATTGTTTATCGATTATGTGTGTATGTTGAATTGGAGATTGGAATTTTGTTGTAAATTGTCAATTGTGTATTGGTTGGTTGTTGTTGGGATTAGGGTTTTCGAAATTAGGGTTAGAATTAGGGCTTTCAATTTATCTGAAATATAAATGAATTGTATGTTATTGTTGGATTATGGGTATTAGGATTTTCGAGGATTATTTGATTGGGAATATTTATTTTGTTTTTTTCGTTGGAGTAAAAAATGATTTTAAATTTAGAATGGTAAAAGAATAATTGAATTTGTTCTTTTTTTGCAACAGATATAAATGGCGTATTGCAGTCCATACCTTGTTAATTTGTACTGGCATTTTGCGAAGGAAAGGTTAAGTGAATTTGTTTTATTTAAATATCGTCCGGATGGTTCATTTCTTATTCCGATGAGGATATCATATGAATAATTGGTAGAAATAATTAATGAAAATTGTCGGTTTGGAGAAGGTTGGACAATTCAGGAGATTACTTTAATTGTTAGCCAACTTGATGGTTCGTTGAATTTCGCAAGACACAATAACGATAGTGTTCTTCAGTATATTATTACCTTCCTCCTATGTCCATGGTGTATTTGCATTTATCGTTGGAGACAATTACACCGGTTACACAGGTTGAGGATGTGTTGGGATGTTACGGGGGAGTGGTTGATGTTGAGGGTACGTCGACTTCGCATCTATGTAATTTTGGAGAAGGGACAAGCTCAACAATGCAATGGGAAAATGAGAACTGGGAAAAAAAAGAAGGCGATGAAGATTTCATTAATGGTGAAGATGATTTCACAGATGAGACTTCCGAAAGCGAATCAGACAGATCGATAAATAAGGAGAGTGAACCCAAATTGATTGAAGAAGAAGACCCTCTTTCTAGTGGTGGTCGCCACATTTATCGCGAGATGGGTGAATGGGAGCCATCGAAGATAGATGAGAACGAGTATGCTCTTACACTTTGGAAGGGCGACATTGAGACCATAGGTTTGGGTACAGTTTTTAGGAGCAAGGAAGAAGCACAATCGGGTGTCTTGGCTTGGAACGTTGATAGGTTGAGGGCGGTTCGGACAACATATTCTAATCAAAAGTCATACAAAGTGGTCTGCAAATCTAATGAAGTTGAACCTTGTGTGTGGAAGGCTCGGGTGACTAAGAAACGGGTTCATGAAATGTGGGAATTAACTGAATGACTGACAGACACACTTGTATGCAAAGTCGAGAGAAATGACCACAGAAACGTAACCGCCCGTATGATTTCAAATCTTGTAATTAACAAGATTGAAAAGAAACTGGACTACAACGTTAGCATGATCCAGGCCGATGTGAAACAGTGTTGGAAAGTCTATGTCAGTTACAAGAAGGCGTGGCACGGAAGGAGAAAAGCCATCGAGCATGTGTATGGCTATTGAGAATCGAACTTCGCAGAACTTCCTCGGTAAGCAAAAATTAATTACAAATACATGTGTTGTTTGTCTGTAACTATGTTTATCTATTTATGAAACCGTTTTGTAATTTGCAGGTTTTATGCCGCGCTTCAAAGAGCGAATCTCACCACAGTTGTATAGTGAGAATGGCAGGGTGGGGAAATGGCGCATCAGTATCAAGACAGACAATTCAAATTTGTATTCTGGGCGTTTGGTCCCGCTATTCAAACCTTCCAACTATGCCCGCCGATCATTAGCATCGATGGCACATATTTGCGTGGATCGTACAAGGGAAAATTGCTTGTGGCTATAGCACAGACAGCGAATAAGCGGCTATTGCCAATCGCCTATGCGATTGTTGATGAAGAAAGCAAGGATATCTGGTCATTTTTCCTGAAAAATATACGACAATATGTTGTCTTCGACCGAAAGATCTGTGTTCTCTCCGATAGAGATAACGGCATACTCAGTGCCATTAACTCGTTGGTTGATTGGCAAGAAACCACTGCATATCACCGGATTTGCCTTCGACACCTTCGAAGCAACGTGGTCACTAACTTTAGGAATAAGAAAGTGTGGGATTGGTGTTGGGATTTGGGTTCGCAGTTATCGGAGCGAAAGTTTCGAGAGACAGAACAACAACTATTGGAATTTAATTCCGAAGCACACAATTACCTTTTTCAAATTCCTTTGAACAAGTGGACCCTGACATAGATGGGGCACATTGACGACCAATATGTCGGAGAGCTACAACAACATCTTGAAAGGCGTTAGGTTCATGCCGTGTAGAACTTTGGTACAGGCCACATTGGACAAAACTCTGGATTTGTTCGAACAAGAACACAAGAAGGCCACGAGATGCAGGAGTCCCATTGCTACTCAGCACTATACCGCCTATTTGGAATTGGAGCGTACAGCCGCAAACCATACTGTAAAATGTGTGAATGCCGAAAGGTCTAGGTACAAGGTGACAACCGGTCTACGGGCTAGTGGGAGAGGGCAAAACAGGTATATGGTTTTTTTTCCATTCAAATATTTAAATTTTTATATATATAAATCACTGTTTGTGTTAACAGCTATAAGGTTGATTACCCCTGGAAACGTTGTAGTTGTCTGAAGTGGCATACACACAGGAAACCGTGCTCTCATGCAATAGCTGTAGCTCGTGAAATTGGGGGTGATCCAAAGTCGTTGTACGATATGCACTTTTGGACAGAGACCTGGGTAGTTCAATTTACTAATTGGGGTTTTGCTCCAATTGGTACTGCGAATACATAAGCGCCGGTGTGATGGAATTTGATACCACATAGGAGAGGATGATCTTGAAGCCTGGACCCGGTCGCAAGCAAACGAGACGCTATCGCATGCAAATGGATCGTCGGGAGCGCCGCAGGAATGATAGGGGACAGTGTTCTAGATGTGGTAATCTTGATCATGTTGTGGATGAGTGTCCATCCTCACATCCTCGCACCGATAGGTCTAGACTTCATGATGTGTGGGGAAACTAGATTTGTCAGTGTTTGGATTGCGTATTTGGAATTGTTTGGATGGTTTATTAGAATTTATTTAGATTATGTATTTGGATGGTTTATTTTATTTGAATTTGTTTGGTTGATTTATTTGGATTTGTTTGGATTAGTTGATTTGTTTGTGTAATTTTGGTTTAGTTGGTTGTTTTGAATATTTAAAACAGGTTTTTTTGGGTTAAAGCGTATTTCTATAATACGTTTTATAAAAAAAATTGAAACGTATTATTTAAATACATTTTAACTTAAAAAAATAAATAGTAAAACGTATTCTCGGAATACGTTTTACTTATAAAAAAAATGGTCGAAGGTTCGCGCTTGAGGGGAATCGAACCCGGGTGTGGGCGTTTCAAGAATGACGACGACCCGCAGCGCGACCCCAAGAGTTAGGCCATTACAGGCCAGTGGTTGAGGACCCATGGTTTAGAAGAGGAGTGCACCAGAGAGCTAATAGATGGAGACCAAACCAATGACTTCGAACAGAGGGCAAGGGCCCTTATACTCTGGTGCATCGGTTCCTTCTTCTTCCCCGACCAGAGGGCCAATGGAGTGAACATGTACTGGTTGCAGCAGTTGCACGACATCGATGAGACCAAGAAGGGCGGTCCTGGTCGGAGTGCATAGAGCGCTCTGCACGAGCTACAAGGCTGGGGAAAAGTGGATTAAGAACTGAGTCTAATTGATTCAGGTAAATTTATTTATTTGTTATTTGAAAATTTATTTTTTTATTCTAATTTAGACTAATATCTAATAACAAAATGAATATGTCGATATGTTTAGGTTTGGGCATATGAACGTATCCCTTGTATTCGCCCAAAAATGAAGGATACAAACTTTCAGAGAGTCCGTGTTGTCCCTTAGGTGGAAGGTAATTACATTTATTTATATTTAATACTTAGATTATTTCCATTATCAAATTTTGTGATTACGAAGTGTTTTTCTGTGATTTTTAAGGTGGGTGGGACGGAAGAACACGAAACACATAGGCAAGGGAACAACCGTTGTCCAGAATCAATTGACAGGGCTGAGAGAGATGGATGTAAGATTATTATTAAGTATTATTGATTATTATTTATATTTTGTTTTTAATTTTCTTATAACTTAATTCCTAATTAAATATTTTTTTTACAGTCCGATTGGATGCCCTATCAGCGGCACCTGCACGAGGGTGCTCTCCCGGCCTAGTGTACAGAAGGTTCACACCTCTGGATGTATAGAGGGTGGATCTTCTGTTGGAACGTCCGTGAAATGGGACACAATGGGAGACACACCACCGAGGCCAGGAAATGACTGGGAGGGCATTCCATGATTGGGTCGACTTTCATGGAGAGCTTGGGAATGCTTTGGTCGAACAAAGAGAACAAAATGTCGTCGCAGTCATCCCTGTGGAGCCATTCCTTGAGCCTGAGGCGAGTTACCTTGATTGGTTTCATAGTACATCTGTGAGACTACTCGGTGACCGTGCCAAGTACGCAGTGGCGCAACCGGACGGAGGCTATCAGCCACTTGCCGAGCAAGGGAAGTGCGATGTAAGTGTTTATAATTTGTGTTTTTTTTTCTATTATTATTATTATTATTATTATTATTATTATTATTATTATTATTATTTTTGTGTTTCATACTAATTACTTTGAATTTAATTTTCAGGCTGGCGCAATGGAGGGGGCTTATAACACGTTAGTGAATGTTGACCACCTATTTCATACACTCCCTCCAGAGATGCAGGGCGCAATCCAACAGGCCAGGAGCATTCTCTACACTTCTCTGACTGTCGGAGGCGGAGAGGTCGCACGAGGGATGTCGTCGAGCCAAGTTCTATCGCAGGAGAGTTATGTCTGATCCCAGAGGACGCAGTCACACCGGGCGAGGCATCAACCTGCTGCCCACATTGGTGGAGGTAGAACACGACGTGACCGCGAACCCGCTGCCGATACCGGGCCTCAGGAAGAAGAAGAAGAAGAAGAAGGTGAGCATTTTTTACTTAACAAAAAATTGATTTTTTATTTATTAATTTATTTTTTGTCCAGTCGAATTTGTGATTTTATTAAAAAATGAATTACTCAGGTGAAGAAGAAGAAGAAGAAGAAGCTGCCACTCCTATCACGACCACAACCTCGTCTTCTTCACGACCACCACAGCGTCGGATGGGCTCCGGAAAGCGCATACCTAGGAATCCTTTCACTCCTAGTTAGTATGTTGTGTATTCGAAAATTTTGTGGACATATTTATTTTTTTTTTGTTGGATTTTGTGTACTGATATTTGGACATAATGAATAAATTATTGGGGTTGACTTTTTGTATATAGTGTATGTATGCTAGATTATTATTTGAAAAATAGATTGATATTAGTTTGTGGAATTGATATTTAGTTATGGAATCGATCCCGACAAACAGGTGTGTTTTTTTTATTTTTTCTGCACAGTTACTGTTTCTGCATAGTAAAACGTATTCCCAAAATACGTTTTACGTTAAAATTGATTTTAGGGCAAAATTAGGGCAAATTAAAATGGATTTCGGAAATACGTTTTACTGGAAAACGTATTTCGTGAATACGTTTTTGGGTAAAACGTATTTCGCCAATACGTTTATATTTTTTAAAAAATTAATTTCTGCAATAATAAATTACAAAATTCATTTTATTTATAAAAAGTATTTTTATAATGCGTTTTTAAGCTTTTTAAATTTATTTTTTGAAATAAAAAATATATAAAATTAATTTTATTAATAAAACGTATTTGAAAAATATGATTTTTAAAATTTCATATATAAAACGCATTTTAAAAATATGTTTTATGTTTATTTAATTAAGTTAATCACTTAATTAATTATATTGACCTTTAAACGTATTTAGAAAATACGTTTTATAAGTGAAAACGTATTGCAAAAATACGTTTTACAATCTAAAACGTATTTTCATAATATGTGCTTTTTATTTTGGTCGACACCCCCCTTTTTTTTTTGTTTTTGTCCACTTATTTTTTTTATTTTTAAATAAATAAATAATTTTGTTTTTGTTTGAATAACCTTTTTTTTTTTCTAATTTTATTGAGCTCAAATATAGTTCAATGTCATAAACAAACAAAGCTCACATGGAAATTGAAAAGCCCAACAAATAGTTTGAATGAGCTAAAAGATAGTTCAACCTTATAAATCCAAGCTAATTAGAAAACTACAACAAAACGTCCACGGGCATAGCCTGTTGGTNAATAATAATAATAATAATAATAATAATAATAATAATAATAATAATAATAATAATAATAATAATAATAATAATAATGTCCCAAGTATATATAATTTACATTCACATTATGTATTCATAAACTAAATCTATTGAATGAGGAGTTATTATTAGGTGGTTGACCATCATATTTTTTAACAAAATATATATTTACACTTACGTTTGCTCGTATTACTTTTCAGAATATGGTAACTTGGTTAGAATATGATAACTAAGTTTGAAAATATGCATATGTATTGAAATTCGAAAAGTCATTATTGGATTGTCTTAATGGGTAAACTATTGCTTGTATATATTTAATGTTGCTGCTTAGAAAGTGATACTTTTCCAATATATTTACATAATTTCATCCCGAAATGTTGTTACTTTAAAACCATAACATTTCATCATATAAATCACACATTTTAATTGATAATTCTAATAAAACATTGTATTTTCTGGTATCCATCAAAACATGCAAATTACTTGTTCAACCACACACCTCAACTTCCAATTCCATAAATAAATGCAACCAGAAAAGGAGAAAATAAAAACGAAAAAGAAATAAAGAAGAGAATCAATCAACAGCCTTGCTCTAAGAAAGTTTTGGAAAATACCGATTTCTTACAGAAAGTTCGAAAACATTTCGCTGTATCGGCATGACCATGTTATGTAAAATGACCCCAACTGCTCAACTAAAGGGCGAAACACTAAGACGATGCACATATTGGTTTTATATTATCCTTTATTTATCATTGAATCGAAATGAAAGGAGGAAACATATACATTTTGTGCAATATTTATTCATCATCCATTCGAAATAGTCAACCATGTATAATTCTCCTGGCAAATCCTTGCAGAGAACTTCCAATCCCGGCTTCCACTGCTTCTGCCAAGTATTTTGCCTGCAAATGTGCACAACAGAATAAAATGTAAGAGACAGTTTTCAAACCCATTATAAGAACACGTGTCGAGAAAAGAAGAAAGAAAAGTCAAAACTCTAATCCTTGTTAGTTCATACGCCTGAAGAAGTTTCACACATTTATGTATTTCAAATCACTACCTATATAAGATTGTCAAGGTCTCGTGTACAACTCGTGATATGTAGAGCGTCAAGTTTAAACATTGAAGATTAACTGATTACCGATAAAGTCTAATTAGTTTTCAAAAAGGTGATCTTAAAGTATTGAATAAAGATGGTTATCCTTTAATGTTTGACATTTGTCTTTCTTTTACATATCCTTGCCACGAGGAATGTCACCGTTAGAAGATATTTATTGTTCAAAGAGATTTGTGTTAGTAAAGTTTACTTACCAAAGTAAGCAGCTTAACAAATTCGGAATTGAGAAAGATATACGTAAAGAATGAAAACCAGAGAAACTATTCTAAGAGTAAACATTCAGTACGGAGCAACAGTAATTACCTCTTGAACAGACTTTCTAAAATCAAAGGCATCTTTAATCCGTCTGTCCATAAAAGCCCATGTGTTTTGAAAATCTATCCAGAAAAGACCATTACACAGCAATGGGTTAAAAAAAACTGTCATGCTAATCAAATCTTCAACAGAACATTATTCGACCAACTAAACACACAGATAAGTAAACCTTTTTAATTTCCAAGGCGCAAGCTAGCAAGAACGTTTTTTCCAAGTTGTTTGCAGAAAAGTCCCCAACAAAGGATTCATAATCAGTGAAATAAATATTACCCTCTCAATTAAACAACACACTTCATGTCCCACTATACGCATGCCTTAAAACTCACAACACGATAGATAGCTAACCTGGGGAGGTATCAGTGAGCATGTAGAGTTCAACTACAGAGTAAATCCCAGCAAGGACTGCACGCTTGGCATGCCAATCACTATTAGTGGCCTCGTAACCAGCTGCATGCCAAATCTCATCGACAAGCATTGTTCGTTGTCTTAAGCTAGTCGGTATATTCCAGGGTTGCACCTACATTTCAAATACTTCCATAAAAAATCTTGCTGGAAAAGCATAGAGTAATATCCGGGGAAAAAAAAAAAAAAAAACTCGGTACCTGTATGCTTAGTGCTTGAGGCCACTTGAAAATGTAGGGAGCTTGCATCTCCAAGCGAATTCTAACAAGTTTCGCTACACGCTGGCTAGGGATCAAGCTCTGCAAATCCTCTTTCATGTCGATCACGTCAATCAGCCTTTGCAGGCAATCATCCATGAAAAACTTGACAAATAAAATCACGAGGGCTTAGGCGAAAGAGCAGAACAAAGGCTATTTGTATTAAAAAAAAGCATTCGATAGAAACTGAAATCCATAATCAGGGCAAACGGCAATCCATAATCCATATAAATATCANCACAGTGATTCAAATTGTTGCAAAGTGAAACGTGCAAGGACACACTCTCTTATTGTTATCAAACTGAAATCATCATGAACAGAAACAACATTCAATCGACTACCTAGATTAAAATATGGTTTTATACTTTTCACATCCGGCCTCTCTGACTTGAAAGCCAGGTCGCTAGACGTGCACTTAGAACTGGGTATACAAGATAAACAACAGTCAAACAAGTACAAGATTCAACATTTCATAATACCTCAACTAATGCAGCTTCCTTTCGGGGAAAAGATCCGACAATCGAAGGAGACACGCCAACCTCCCTAGCTCCAGCAATCATAGCGGCATCACTCCACCCTAATCTAATCTGCGCAGTCAAATAATCCATTAAATCACTCAAATGCCCAGAAAACAATCGAGCTAGTTACAGAACAAATCATTTGAACTCTAATCATTGTGTCAATTATCACCATAATCATACAGATTATGAAAATAATCCAATAAATCACTCGAATACTCAGAAAACAATCAATCTAGTTACAGAACAAATCACTTGAACTCGAATCTTTATGCCAATTATCACCATAACCATGCAGATTAAGAAATCCATTAGCTCGTATGGGCACAATTCCTACTGGGAAACAAATTCAGGATTCAATCACGCAATCAGTAAAAGAGTGTACAAAAATCAGTAAAACCATGGAATTGGAGGAAAAGGGGCAAGACCACGTGGCGGAGAGAGGCATGGAGCACACGCGCCTGTTCCTCCTGCCAGTGAGCTTTAGGCCGAGCCTTGGCTCTATGGCTCTGGAACTCATCAGACCGCGTCTTTTCGTCGCTGGTACTCGCCGTGGACGGCGGCGAGGGCGATGTGTATGAGCTGAAATGATTAGGGTTTCGGTTGGGGAGATTTCCGGAGGTAGCCTCAGTGGAAAATGGCGACGTACTAAGTACTCCGACAGGAAAAGGTCGAGAAGCGGAATGACCTCCACGGCGGAGAAGCGTTGGGAGCAGCCGTCTCGCCGCTGATCGGTACATTTCCGGCGATGATTAGTCGATAAAATAATTAATGTATAAAATATTAGTTATTATTAATTATATACAACATTTAAAATTAGAAAACATAAATGGAATTTCTATTTGGCCACGAAATTGTGTCACAGGCAGCCACGTGGCAGCTGCATAGCCTCAACTAATGTTTTAAATACTGTTGACCATATCGGTGTAGCCACCAGTACGCGGTATTATCGGTAAGACCGGTAATATGGTGGTATTATCGGACTAACAAATATAATGATATATATATTTATAAATAAAAATGTATAATACTAAATGCAAAAAAGTACAAAAATAAATGACCATAATTATTAATTTTAACTTACCAATGAGATAAAAATAAAACATTCTAACTACCAATTTAAATTTTATATTTTTAAATTAATAATTTTTTTTTTATTATTTTTTTTATATATTTTTTTATGAACGGTATTTTGGACCGGTATTTTTCGGTATTTACGGTATAACTACCGTACAAACCGGTATAACCGCAAATCCAGTATTCTGTGTGCAATTGTACCGTACCAATGGCCAATATCCGGTATTACTGGTATTACCAGCCAATACAGTACGGTTTTTAAAACAGTGGCCTGAACCTCAGTTATTGTGAATTACACAGTTTTTCTATCGGATGAACAGTTATAAGAATATAAAATAATTTTAACCAGACGTGTATATGTCACATATACTATAGTCCACAAATTGATAGTAGAGAAAAAAAAAATCACATCCTTAATTTACTTTATTTTTGCTTTTTAATTTAATAAATTTTGGTGCTTTTTGTCAATATAGAGTTGTGCTCGAACCAAATAGTTCGTGAACTCAATTTGATTCATCTCGTTAAAACACAAGTTCGACACGTTTGTTTACTTAAATGAATCGAGTTCGGACCAGTAACAGAGCTCGTTTCTTAAAAGAATTGAGACGAGGTCATTTGTAAACAACTTTTTTAATTATTTTTATCAATTTATTTTATTAATTTTGAATTAATAATAGAGTAAAAAATGTTCGTCATTGCACAAATCGTATCCGCGAAAATCTCTATTACAAATTCAAATTTGTTTAACAAATCGAGCTTAAGTTGAGTTGACTTGTACATTAACCGAGCACGAAGTACTCGGCTTGGTTTGACTCGAATAATATCTCTAGTTTAATGTGATTCAACTATAAAATTCAAAATACCAATAGTGATCAAGGTGAAATTTGTGCTTAAAAAACCAAAAGCAAGTAAACTTTGGGTAAAAATAAAAATTGCAATGTGCACCTAATTATCCACTTCATATCATTAAAGCCAAGTATGAGAAATTCAATTGGTGAGGTCTATATTCAGTTTGTCCTTCAAAATATACATCCATTGTGATCTAAATTTTGTACACCCACTCCCATAACAACATTTTCTTGGAACACCTTTCCTCAAATTGCAACAACAACATTCTGAAAAAAAGAAAAAGAAAAAAAAACATTATGTCATCTCTAAATCTATCCTTTCTTGAACCTAATCAAGGGACTCCAATTTTTTCCCCACATTTTTTTCCCTATCTAAAAAGAACAATGACCAACTCTACAAACCCTAAGAAAAAACATACACACACATTCATTAGCATCCCAATTACAATTAACCACAAAGAACAAATGTGACAAAAAAAAAGGA